AGGCCAAATTCAGCAGAAACATCCTGGAACGCCGTCAAGGCCAACACAGCATGCTCCCGCGAACCAACTACAAAGTTTGCATCGTCCGCATACTCAACATCAACAACAGCGGTCTGCTGATAGGTACGGGTTCGTCGTGCTGGGTTGAATAACTGGCCATCCAAGCGATAGTGAAATTGGATGCCAATGTCTGGGTCACGATCAGCGAGAACAGACCGCCAACGCTCCACCACCAGAGCCAGATAGAGGTTAAAGAGGATTGGGGCCATTACACACCCCTGCCTCAGGCCGTTCTCCACACGAATTTCATCCGTGACACCTCCAGGCACACGCACCTCCGCCACCATGCCTCATGAAATGACTCAATGACCTTGAGGAGAGTCGGAGGAATACCAAGGACAGAAAGAGCACGATACAGTGCAGCCCTAGGCACAGAATCATATGCCTTTCTCAAGTCCACGAAGATACAAAATATTTTTGTACGATGCTCGTATGCCTTTTCCACCAGTTGCCGGACAGTAAACACAGCATCAGCACAGCCACGGTTGGGTCGAAATCCGCACTGAGACTCCGGGAGGAGATGCTCGGCCCTGGATTGAAGGCGGTTCTGTATCAAGCGACCAGCCATCTTGCCCACCACCTCCAAAAGAGAGATCCCACGCCAATTCACACACACACACACACACACACACACACACACACACACACACACACACACACACACACAAACTTATACAACGCCAAGAAAACACCAAGAAAAGAGTAGAGACACAATACACACGTGACTTCAACAGCCATGCAAACGTCCACCCATTTACACGTAAAGTCAAGAGGGATAACAAAATAATTATACGAAACAAATGCATACGGGGACGGGTACACGCACGTTTTCATACACGTAGTAGTGTAAGAGAGTAACATAGTGCAGTGGTCAGCATAATACTAGCACATGCTGAGAGTGCAATAGCAAGCTTCACCATTGCTCATGGCCATGCAAATGTTCAGCAGCACTCACTTCCGCAAGCTTCCGAAGATCAGCACACCTGCAAGAAATAGATAGCACAAGGATACGCTTATTACCGTAATGATGCATGGGAGCACACAACCACCAAGGTCTCAACGAATGTGATGCTCAATGAAAATCAATCCACTCAAAGACCTGTGAACAGCTGTGGGGACTATAATCTATTAGTAACACGAGGAATAAGATCGTTTGTGCACACTCAAGACGCACAGACACACCAACATACATGTAGTGTACACAGTGTTTCACTTCACTGCAACTAAATTGAAATGAGATGATTTGAACAATCTGTACAGCGTCGCCGTCAGTCAGTCTTCCCCAAGATAGAAATGCAATGATTTGTTGCACAAGGCAGATTCACTGACACAATGTCATGTTCGTGACATCAAAACGGTTACTTCAGGGAATACGAGTATTAGCTTGAGAAGCTTTTCTTGTCATTGGCATACAAGCAATCCTCCTACTGCTACTAGTACACTGGCACTGCGTTTGTGGATCCCATTGTATTTGACATCATACTAGAGGAAGAGTGTCGTGGAGTTTCACATAGTTATCACAGGGATAAAAATACATTTCTCATGAAATAATTATAGTAATTGGTGATAGCTAGACGATCGCATACGATTGATGCAAAGTCCTTGCAGTCCTTGAGGGCTATTACGAAGTGGTTGATTACTTTTAGGGCATTCATTCAAGCAACATCAAACAAACGCGATACGCTCCTTGAAAATGGAAAAAAATTCAAGCATAACGACAGAACAGCATACCAACCGAAACGAGTAAAAGCTTCCTTACCTCAGTCATCGTCCTGCGATGTAGTTGGACAGCCTTTTGACACGGTGGTACAGGCAGCTCTTGTCCAGTCAAACAGGGGTATCCTTTTGGCGTCGAACGAAAGAGAGTGTCAGTGTATCTGAATCGTCAGATTGGAACTGTGCTGAACTTTTCTCTTTCTCCGCTTTCTGCTTTCATCCCTCGCTCTGATGAAACCGTTCAAACGTCTTACTGGCAGCAATGGCCAGCCAAACAGGGGATCCTTGTGGCGTCGAACGAAAGAGAGTGTCAGTGTACCTGACTCGTCAGATTTGAACTGTGCTGAACGTTTCTCGTTCTGCAATTTCTGCTTTCATTCCGCGCACTGATGAAACGTCTTCAGAGAACCACAAGACGCTTTCCAGATGTGATTTTGAAAGTCTCCTTATCCTCCTTGGTTACCTCTGGACAGATTACTGTCAGCAACTGCACAGCAGAGCTGGCAGCCATGGCTGAAGTGAAGAAATGAATGCGCTGCCACGAGGCAAGCAAAACTGAAAATGTGTTTGTTCTCTTTCGGGCGCAACACACAGGACGGCGTGACTGGATAAACTGGACTCCTGGACTGTGAATAGGGGACTTGTAGAAAAAGTGTACTTCTTATAGGGGATTGCGCGCAGGATGAAGCTGGTCAAAACTGAGTGGACTCCTGGATTCTGTATAGTGGATTTTGGACCAATGGACTCTATATAGGGTGCTGGACATCATATAGTGCATGGACTCTATACTGAGTCCTAAATATATTCCCCGGAGTTCCAGGGAATATCGTGCTTTATCAGTCTCTTATTATTGACCCCCACAGACACTTGTGATCTCTAAGTGGTCAAATATCAGCATTTAGAATCAACTCGTAAAAACTCCAAGTCAACCTTCCATTGACACAAACCTCGTTTATTCAACATAATCATATCCTATCCAATAAAAACAGTTCATAAAAACAGTTCATAAAACGGCTTTTAGGATCGGACCCAGTCCGCATAACCAAGAGAGCTAGCTCCCTTGGCTGCTGCTGGAATATGCAAGAATGGGCCTTCCAGATAAGGTCTAACAAGGAGAAGTGGCTATAGTTATGAGATGAACACCGGTAACCAAGGAGACAGACCACACTCTCATTATAGATACTGGTTATAAATAGACCGAATAAGGAAAATGATCTGATAGCCTGTGAAGAGTAAATGAAATTGAACCAATGACAACAAATACTCGTCCAGCACACAAGTTGTCATAGCAACACAAATAACAGCTGTCCACTAATTTTGTTGTTGGAGATTGAGTAGGAGTTTTTACTGGTTGATTCTAAATACAATAAATGCTCCCGCCTTGGGTTTATGACCAATAAAAACTAATTATAAAAACCTCGGGGGACCTCGGTTTTTATAATAGTTTTATCACTCTCTTATTATTGACCCCACAGAAACTTGTGATCTCTAAGCGGTCAAATATCAGCATATATTGACCGCTTATATTGACCAATTATTATTGACCACTTAGGCCGAGGACTTAGAACTTTTTCCTCAACTTGGAAAAAAATCAGAACTGAAAGAAGAAAAATCTGAAGCCAAATGCTGGGATTTGAACCCAAACTGTCAGATTCTCAGTCAAAGAACTTGGGGACATACTACAAGAAACAACTGAATACTTCGGTTTACACAGAAGTAATATCCAATGTAAACGGCATATGTACATACTATTATACTATTACAATAGTATTCCTTTCTTCCTTTAGCAAAGCAAAACCAGTTTTAGGTATGCTATGTCGTGATAAATCTATTATTGCCCTCATAATCGGTCAATATATGAAATATATATATTTCATATATTGACCTCTTTAATCGTGCAATTATATATATTTATACCCAGCCCCCACTAATTCCTGTGATCTATAACTGGTGAATATGTATAGGATATTGACCAAGACGAGCTCTATATGGGAAATATAGGCCGAGTAAAAGACCGAGGTCCACTGAGGTCTTTTACTGAAGAAGATGATGGCTACAAAAATTCTAAAAACCTCAACGTTTGACCCATTTATGGCCAAAAGCTAGAAGTCCATCTTTTTCTGAATGGACAGTAAGTTTGTGCTATTTTTCTTACTAAGCTTGTATCCTCGTTATTTCACTCCAAGTGTATAAGTCCTACTGTAGTTTCATCATTCTCTCTAGTCACGAATTCTATTGATAATTGTGACAAGAAAACGTTCTGGAATACCTTATTCGGCCCCATGGTTGTGATATGAGTGAGCATTTAGTTAAATTTATTCCCGTGGCTATGCAAAAGACGTTACTTCAGTAACGTCTGGCGCTAGCCAGGGTCCACACAGCTTTAATTTGGTATTTGTGTGTTTGTTTGTTTGTTTGTGTCACCCCTGGCGCTATCCCGTATCTGTCCCGTACCGTACCGTACCATCAAACACAGCTGGCCACATACAGCTGGCCGAAATATTCAAATCAAATAATATTCAAATAGGGCTTGTCCCGTACCTATCCCGTACCGTACCGTACCATCAAAGACGGCTGGCCACAATGCATATTCAAATAGGCCTTTCAAATGAGATCATAACGTGAAGCAACTTGGAAGAATTAGTATGTATGCGAAAAGTATCGGGGGATGCATGCAGGGCGCGCGATAGTGCGGGTTCGAATCCCAGGTTATTGCTTAAAAAAAGGAATTTTTTAAAGAATTTATAACATCCGTATGCTTTTTTTGTCTAGGTCATCAAGGCAAAAAAGCATAGCATAGGGCCCTGAGCTTCCAAGCTCTCTCGTTGCATTCTCTAATTATTCATTACTCTTAGGGCATGTTCGATTGATGGGATCCGGATCCCGATCCCGATCTTGGATCACTCGGATCCTCCCAGTTCCAATCGAACGATGGCTAGCACGGTTGGTCGTCGTAATGATGACGTACAAAAATGGCGATTGAAAGTTGCCAAGGTTGTCAAGGTACCGATCAATTTTTGTAATATAATTTTGAAATTCAAATCTAAACGCGTGAGCTAGCATGGTTCTGCGATCATGTTGTCGCCTCCATAATAGCACCATTTCAAGTCCATAAAAAGCTGCTGTTCCACTTCCATTCCATTCCACGTGTAGCTTGTGAAGTTAGCTGTTGTTCTCCTTCCTCGTGAGGTCTTGTTCAGTTCCATTTTTTGGTAGCAAGCATCATGGACGAAGGAGATAATGAGATTCGCCGACGGAAAATCCGTGTCGTAGTTGGCATTGTAGCTGTGGTAGTTGCCAGAATCCTGCAAAGTGAGGAGATACCGTCTGATTTGTTTGATGAGATTTGTGTACTGTCGCACCAACCTGGCTTCAATGGAGTCCTTGGATTTCGAACACCTCGACGTGTATCAGTTCCGCGGCAGAGGGACTACGTCGAAGTTGTTGTGCCTCTGCAGTCTGATGCAGATTTTCGTGGACACTTCAGTTTGCACCGTGCAACAGTAGAAATTGTATGCACAAAGCTATCCCAGTCTGTCCACATGGCTGTGCAGGGCAATGGAGGTCGGAAGCCTATACCCGTGCGCAAGCAGCTTTTGGTTACTCTTTGGTGGCTTGGCAGTAAGAGCACCATCAGAGAGGTGGCAGACAAGTTCGGTCTATCCAAATCGACAGTTTGGCACAGCGTACGGCGTGTGTGTTTTGCCTTGCAGGACATGGCTCCGTTATTGATATGTTGGCCCCAGGGGCAAGGTGCAGAGAGGACGCAAGCAGAATTTCATTCAGCTCAGCACATCCACGGCGTCATGGGGGCGATTGATGGTTGCCATATCCCGATTGCAGCACCAAATGAGGCACCTGAGACATACCTGAACAGAAAAAAATTCCATTCCGTTATTCTACAAGCAGTCTGCGACAGGAACCTGCTATTTACGGATGCGTATTGTGGCTGGCCTGGCTCTGTGCATGATGCAAGAGTATTCGAAAACAGTCCCCTGAAGCAGTTGGTCACTGAAGATGTTCGTCGTTTCTTTCCTGGAGAAGCCTTTATCGTTGGAGATTCTGCGTACCCACTACTGCCGTGGCTGATGACTCCCTTCAGGGATGATGGTCACCTCACAGCAAGTCAGACCAATTATAACTTCAAGCACTCGTCAACACGGATGTGTATTGAAAGAGCTTTCGCATTGCTGAAAGGAAGATGGAGGCAACTCAAGTATCTAAATATTGTGAATGTTGAGAACGCCACCCATATCACCATTGCCGCCTGCGTGTTGCACAATATGGCCATCATGCACGAAGACGATGTCAGTGATTTTCTTCAAGACCTACCTGAAGGTGATGTACCTAATCCAACGTTGTATTTTCAGCCAAACACCGGTGCTGCAGACAAGCGCAACCGAATTGTGGATCTCATTGCTTAACAGAGGAAGGCAGACTTTCACAATTGTTGACTTTCTACTACTCACTTCGCATAATTCTGCTGTATTTGAGTAGGGTCCTCATTTCTTTCCACACTCTACCTTTCATGCAACTGTTCTCAGTATGTGAGTTGTGTGCCAATGCTCCACCATGGCAAATTGTGTTTTGGCTGTGTAGTCTGGACAAGTTAATGATGTCATGAGATGATCATGATGCTATGGGATCGTATTATTTTAATCATTCCTGCATTGCATTTTGAAACACAGACGTCATCGTGCATCCGGAACTCAAATCAAGGCATGTGTGAAAACTTTTGGGTGCCAGCTACTGACTGCAGAGAATGGCAAGGAATAGTGTCGTGCAAGTAGGCAGTAGTGTGTGATTGGTAGTCTTCCCTGCCACCCCATGCTTTAACGCAAACCGCGTCACACATACACGCAACCAGAAGATGATACTCGATATTGCGTAGGTAGTACTTTCTCATTATAGGCAGTGAAATAAGCACAAACTCAGCCGAGTATCTTGTTACCCATATCAAAAGGATGATACATCATTGAGAGATGGATAATTATACAAGTAGATGCAAGGTATCATCACCGATTCATTGGTGTGTGTGTGTATGTATGTGCATGTAGCATTGGATGTTATGTAGAAACACATGCTGTATGCTTCACAAACTCACAATAGATACATAAATAAATAGTACTTCGAAGTATGCCTCTACTGCTTTGCAAGCCTATTGACAGCTGCAGTAAGGTCGCCAAGTATTGCCATCTGGTCGTTGTGCTTACGCTCTTGCCAGGTTCGATCTTCACATTTCGTCTGCTTGAGCCATTCCAGGGCGTCACTGGACTGCCCTCCAGACCGCTTTCTCCTCTTCTTTACGCCCTTCTCCTCATCATTAGCAGCAGGGGTTGCCACGGCTACTGATGCACCTGCTGTAGCATTGAGACGGACTGGAGTAGCTTGAAGTGGTCGGAGCGGATGATACTCTTGCTTCACCATCCTGATCGTCCTCCGAATCCGATAATTCAACTAGACGCTTTGGGGGTCTGGTGACAGGAACCAGCGGGCCACCCACACATTTTGGGTGGATGTTGGGCTTCCAACCAAACGTAGCATTCATTTCATTATAGAAAGCAGGCGGCTGTTTACGGTCAGCCCCAGTTTTTTGCTGCGAGTCCACATAGGCTTTGTACGCTTTCATCAGGTTTTTCCATCTGTTTTCACATTGTTCTGCAGACGGATGTAGTTCCTCGTCCGGGAATGTTGCTGCAATTCGCTGGGAAATCCGGTTCCACACACTCTTTTTCCTCCAGTTGATGTCTTGAAACAAGCCGTCGTTTTCGGACCGTGCCGAAATTAATTCCAGCGTCAGCCGTCTTGTCCACTGGAAGCCAGGCCTACGATCTTGGCCACTGGGCTGAGAGGGCTTTGACGCAAGACTTTCAGCTGCCATTGTCAGGAACGAGAAAGATGAGGGAGATAGTGAATACTACTCGTGCTGAATGCTTTTTATATGCGAGGAAAAGTTGTCCCTCACGTCATTCTCGCCATACTCGGATCATCTCTCCGGTCTGGTCCGGCCATGTTTGTAATTTCGGTGCCAATCTGGGCAATTTGCCGCCCAATGAGCCGCAGTTGTAGAAGCAGTAACAGCAAACATTGGAGTGAGTTGAATTGGAAGGAAGCACAAATGGAAGAAAGTGAAAGCTCCACGTGTTGATGGCCCAAGTGAAAAGGGCTCTCACAGGTTCCGTATCTCCATATGTTGAATTCCGCTGCAAACGTGGGCTAGTTGCCGCATAATGAGCCGCAGTGGTAGAAGCCGCAATAACAGCCAAAATTGGAGTGAGTTGAATCGGAACGAAGCATAAACGGAATAATGTGAAACCTCCACGTATTGATGGCCCGAGTGAAAAGGGCTCCCACGGGTTCCGTACCTCCATGTCCATATGTGTTGAATTCCGCTGCAAACGTGGGCTAGTTGCCGCATAATGAGCCGCAGTGGTAGAAGCCGCAATAACAGCCAAAATTGGAGTGAGTTGAATCGGAACGAAGCATAAACGAAATACTGTAATGTGAAACCTCCACGTGTTGATGGCCCGAGTGAAAAGGGCTCCCACGGGTTCCGTATCTCCATGTCCATATGTGTTGAATTCCGCTGCAAACGTGGGCTAGTTGCCGCATAATGAGCCGCAGTGGTAGAAGCCGCAATAGCCAAAATTGGAGTGAGTTGAATTGGAACGAAGCACAAATGGAAGAAAACGAAACTTCCCCGTCGACTGTTGGTGGCCCGAGGGAAAAGGGCTCCAGGGATCCAACGGGTTCCGCATCTCCATATGGGCCTCAACCAGCGAAAACAGCCCTTAGGGTTAACATTTTCAAAATTCCTTTTCGGTTTGAAATTTGTTGAACCACATCTACTGAAGGACCTCAGCCAAGAAAAAGTTCAATATTCATATTCTAAACGGGTGTATACACCAATATACAAGATGTACTCCAAATTGGTGCAATGTATGTTTACGATGTATATGTACAATGAATATTCAGCATTCGAAGGTGGGTGGGCAGCTTGAATACTTTTGAAATAGTGCAGTAAGCAGCTATAATGACAAAGAATAGCTGATGAGTGCGGGGAAATGATCGACATATTCGCAGCTGCATCCTGCGTGGAGTCGTTCCGCAATCTCGTCTTCCATTTCTTCCTCCGCAGCTGAAGACACGACGTCGCAGCCGTCACTAGCCCCAGACTCAGAATTTATCTCAGGTGACGACTCCTCATCTTCCGACTCTGACGAGTCATCGGCCACCTTGAGCCGCATCGCAGCAGGAGATGACGGCTGCGATTCCGCCTCGCTGTCGACATCGATGTCGGAACCAATGAACGTCTCATCCTCATTCTGAACTTCAGAGGCTACTTCAGCATCCACTCCCCACCAGGCTCGAGCTAGCTGTAGACAATGACTGCCGTCTGTGCGCTGTGAACAGCTCTGGCGTCCGCAGCCATCGCAACAAGATCAAGGAACACTGGAGTCGCCACTCGACACCACTTCAACTAATTCAAAATAAATTACTTCAAGCAAGAAGAAGTCGTCGCGCTGTTCGCAGCGCGATCAAAAAAATCATTGAACGTCACAAATCGACCTTTTTCTCGAAAAAATCACGAAATCTCTAAGGGTCGTTTTCGCTGATTGCGGCTCATATGTTGAATTTCGCTGCCACTCAGGGCTGTTTGCCAGCAAAGGATACGCAATGGTTGAAACGGTAAACCAAAAAATAACAAAGGAATGAAACAACCAAACTTTTGCTGTGCAAGGCGTGAGGAAAGGCATTCCCGCAGGTTGGGTCCCGCCAAATGTGCAGTTGTCGTGCCAAAAAAGGTTGATTGGCAAAAAAGGATCCGTTGGATCCAGTCAACCCTGCTCCCCGAGGTGGGTTGACCGGATCCAAATCCAAAGGATCCGGATCCGGATTCGACCAATCGAAAGGGTGCGAATCCAGTGGATCCGGTGGATCGGGATCCCGATCCTACCAAACGAACATGCCCTAACAAATTGCAAGGGTGTATCATTAATATATATTTAAAAAATTCTCCCAAGCTTACAGCCTCTTTAGTTTCGTATTGCTACTGAAGATTCCTGGTGATAAAAAGGTGATTCCGGTATTTCCAATGTACCTGCAAAGAAAGATAAGGCCATTATTATTATTATTATTATTATTATTATTATTATTATTATTATTATTTTAATAACGAAGGTACGTGTTAGGTCGTAAGTATCCACGCAAACACACATCCAGTCAAAATAAGGCACTTGTCAAAGTATCCGAACGTTTTCGGTCCCTTCTCATCAAGGATTATACAGGGAATGGCTCAAGTTGGAAAGACTAAAACTTATATAGCGTAAAGATATGAGATAACAACACTCGTGACAAGGTGAAAAAAAGTATCAAGTTCAGCACGACACAAAACTCGAAGGACATAATAATAGCGACAAGAACATAGTGAGCAAATTAAGTTACATTGTTAACACCTCGACGAGGAGTAACACCAAACAATTGTAGCGACAACACATTTTCTTTTTGTACGCAAAGGTCTTTGTACCCGCTGATGCGCGTTACAGCGACTGTTGCCCTCTTATATTTTTTATCGTCACGACACTGTTTCAATTACTTCAAACAACGCCTCCCAATCACCCATATTGATCTATTGAATGACGTTCTTGCCCTCCGTGGTCGCCTCAATACAGCTATATTCAGTGTCAGGTTACTCCGTGACTGCCTACACTACTCTGTTGCACCTAAGTATTTGCAGAAACGAGTGCAGAAACTAAAGCTTTATGACTCTATCTCTATCGAGAAAGTACTTTTGCAGGATGATCTTAACAAGGCAAAGAGCCAACTTCACAATGCACGTTCGAGGTTTGTGTCTTCGTATCAGAAAGTACGAAGACTTCTCAATACCTTCGATTTTGTCAGATTTTCATGGCTAATATCGCAATGTGACTGTAAACAACGGTCTAGGCTCCATGCAAAACACGTTTGGATTGTGTCTGCCTTGAGAAAGGACCGATTCGGCACATGTAGCGACAATTATGATACTATTATTAATCTTGCCGATATCCCTCTGACGCAACTACAAAAGGACGTGCTGTGCGGCGGTTTGGATTTTGGCATTCCTCCGAAACTCCACCGATTGGAGATGTTGGCGGAGTTTGAGCTGCTGCAGCAGCAATTGTCCAAGGTACCAGCAAAATCTGACGAAACAGCAGCGACTTGCCGGGCGTCTCTGGCTGCCGAGGCACACAAGTTTGCGCAGTCTTCTCCTGACACCCGGTCTTTTTCACTCACACGAGAGCACCTCAAAGTAATGAGAGAGCTTAGGAAAAATCCGGACATTATTATCTCCCGCCCTGACAAGGGTCGGGCAACGGTTATTATGTCAAGGGAGGATTACCAAACCAAGATGATGGTCATTCTGGAGGACGGGACGAAATTCTGT